TTCATAGCAGTACATAATAGCCCAGTCTCTCCCAGAATATTAGATGATGATTTAATATCAGCAATAGTGATGGTTCAATTAAAGATAAAGATTATCGGCCAGATTCAAATACAGAAGCAGATAGTTATTCTGATTCAGGATCAGAAAGTAGGGTTAGTGTCAATTTACTTTTGCCTACTCTTGCAGAGGGTGTTCCAAGCACATCTCAAAACATACCAAATTCTATATATATGTCAGAATGATTTACAACAAAGTCATAATAATCTACCAACATAAAGAAATATTCAGAATAAAATTACCAATAGAACAGAGAGGAAAAAAGCGAGTAAGAAATGTTTCTCAATGGAAAGTAAATGTCAGAAAGAGACACTATGCAAGTGGTAACGCTTACATTAGCAAAAGTGGTAAAACAGTGCTTACAAGAGAATAAACCTGCATGTAGCACGAATTATCATTTGAAATGCAGTACTAAAATATCCGAACTAAATGGAATCTAAGTTAAGATCAAATACTTTAGTGTATTCTTTGTTTCTAAATACATTGAACTTTTCCTAACAAGTATTTAACACAGGCGTCCTCTCATTTCCGACATTCATTTTAGGACATCATAATATAATATTATGTTGTTGACTAAAACTTATATACGAGTATATAAGTTTTAGTCAACCTACGAGAATTAAAAATAATAGCCAAAATAATTTAATTCGCAAACTATTTATAAATCAATAATAAAACTAATGAATTATTGTTTGTAATAAAGCACCTTTAAATAGAGGTTTAAATTGACCATTAATTATATCCTTCTAAGCTGTACAATTGATAGTGTTTGAATAAATTACTCGGACTCATAACTACTATAAATTAAATAACTTATTTTTTTTTTCCTTTGATCACAAGGCTACTCGTTATAAACAATGAGTTATCAACATCAATGCATTACAGCAATACGCATAACGATAAACTATTTCCTACTTTTTTACCCTAACATCTTGCAGGCGATTCGGCGATTGTATGATGTATGAATCTAGAAGGGAATTACACATATTTGTGAATTAAATAGGTAAAAAAATATTTTACAAAGTAGGCCCGTGGGCTTCCGTAATTATTACCGTCCGTCAAGGTCAAGGCTACTTGTCGTTCTGCGTAGTACGTCGTGCATGATCTCGGCAGGACGTACAGCAAGATAGACCGTGTTAAAAGTAATGCGCGTAAGGCTTTAGGAGCTGACTCCATAGGGGTGCCTATTGGTGACCATAATAAAAGATAAAATAACTTTTGCTAAAATTTATTATAGCGGAACGTACAATACAGTTGGCGGGCAACTAGTGACTAACTGAAAAATCTTCTTCACTAAGTATATAGATACAATATTGCAAAGTGTACATGCATGTATGTGTGTGCGCAGCACACCTACAATACTTCCCATATTCTCATTCGAGGAAACTCGAAAAGTCCGAATGTTGTTATGATAGCGGTTTTCTCCACGTCACCTGGTGCGACAGGTATAAAATGATAACTTCTATTGATGTCTAATTTTGAAAATATATTTTTATCCGGAAGAATAAAAGTAAAATCATTCAAGGGAGGAATCGGGTATCTGTCGGGATTTGTTATCGCATTTAGCTGGCGATAGTCCCCACAAGGTCATATATCTCCATTCTTTTTAGGAACTACATGGAGTGGACTAGCCCACGCGCTCTTTGAAGAACGACAGATGCCCAGTTCCTGCATGATGCGAAATTCTTCTTTAACTTTTTTATACCTGTCAGGTGGCAACGGGCGCGCTTTCGCGTGCACGGGCAGGCCAGAGGTCTCGATATAGTGGACGACATCGTGTTTCGCGGTTTCTCGGAATGACGCTGGTTTAGTGATGTCCGGGTACTTTAACAATAAATCCTGATACGGATGATTTACATCAATAGTTTTAACACTAGGTTGAGAAACATTGACAACAGATGCCGAAACATTCAATTCTGTAGTTTTATCTATTAATTTACGCGCGTTTAAATCAACTAATAATTTGTGGTACGCTAAAAAATCGGCGCCCAAAATTGGTTGTTTGACATCTGCCACAACGAATTCCCAACGATAAGGTCGACGTAAGTTTAAGTTTAACACTAGTGTCTTGGTACCGTAAGTTGCGATTTCACTACCGTTAGCTGCGTATAATTTATATTCACTACACTGATTTACACGATCTTTTCTCATGGCTGGTAAAACAGACACATTGGCGCCGGTGTCGACTAAAAATCTAAGCCCAGAGTTACTGTCTGACACACACAAACGATTGAATGGAAAAATGGTGGTGGAAAAAGACCTGAAGATCCTCAGACTGTACCTCGCCGCTCAGTTTTCCGATTGTGTTGGTTTTCACGCGCAAGGCTTCGTACACTTGTTGGCTTTTTCTCGGAACCGGTAATGGTAGAAGCATAAGTAGTTCTCCTTCCGGGACCGGCGTGAACCGCTACGGCGCCTGGACTGCGAACGACGTCGGTTGCGATCAGGGGCGCGAGACCGCGATCTCTGCTGATCGATCTGGTCCACGGTAGCCTTTATTTTAGCCACCTCAGCCCTCAACAGGGCCAAGTCAAGGGCGGCCATAGATGTTGGCGCTGGCATGGCATAGGTAGCGGTGGCGGCATAGGAAGGTCGCACAGCCTCCATGACGTTATCTGCGACTGTTGCTAGGTTGTCCAGGTCCTTGGAGTCAGACACAGTGAGCACGGCTCGCACTTGTGTCGGAAGATGACTCTGCCACAGCACGCGAATATTGCTCACTACTGAATTAACATCACGTCGGACACGTTTATCACGTCGGGCACGTTTATCACGTCGGGCACGTTTATCACGTCGGGGACGTTTATCACGTCGGAGACGTTTATCACGTCGGGGTCACCAGTTTAGGAGCTGACACCATAGGGATGCCTATTGGTGACCATAATAAAAGATAAAATAACTTTTGCTAAAATTAATTATAGCGGAACGTACAATACAGTTGGCGGGCAACTAGTGACTAACTGAAAAATCTTATTCACTAAGTATATAGATACAATATTGCAAAGTATACATGCGTGTATTTGTGTGCGCAGCACACCTACTAGGCTGTAGGTACTATATGTGAAAACGAACAAATATTAGCATGTTTGAGAATTTCAGTGAAAAAAAGCATGCATCATAAAAACACATACAAACATATCACAAGTAATACATATTATATTGAATTCGATTGTTTAGTGCGATTGCCAAGTCAATCTATTTATTTAAAACATAAGAGAATTTTAATATTGATATGGCCACTATAAGATGTTGTTAGGTCGGCTAATTACGTAAATAACTTGAGACAAAAGGACCACTAAGTAGGAACTGAATAAATTAAACGACTTGGTATTACATGGATCTCACGACTTTTTACGATAGAATAGAAGAACTAATTAGTGAGACTTGGTTTTTTTACAAGTTATGTTTTTGATGGCATCTCATTTCTTTTTGTAGATAGCCCTACATGTTTTGCTTTTCGATACCTTCTACTTCTTGAATACCAACAACGTACCTATCTACACCTATTATTCCAATATATTACACAATACACATATACAGGTACACTGATTCATTCACTGCAAATATAACTTTGTAATCCTATATATTTATATGGGATTATAAAGTTATTGATGCGGTTGTAGCATCTAGAAAACTGGAGCGAAATTGGAAAATATTTTAGTTTTTCCTCGATTTATATACTAAAAAATAATTATATTCTAAATTTGAAACAGTCAGTCAGTGAGTGACAAAATAGGGTATTTTACCCATTTTCAAAAATTGTTTTGAATGAATCCTAGAGTGATAATGAGCCACTACTTATAATTTTTTTAAAACCTAATAGTGCCATAAAAATTACTTTTAAACTATCGATTTAAATTTTAGCATGAAAACGCTAGCAGCCATGTTGTTTAACTGTTGACGACACAGTCGTCGATTCTGCCGATTTTGCAAACGAATAAGATACTTTTTAATGTATAATAATTAATTATCATCCAAATCATTGTTATGTTGTGCCTGAATGCAAAAATATGAGCATAAGAACGCCGGGAAATTTATGGATTCAAGTGCCAAGTATTTAAATATAAGAAATACTTGCTTAAAACTAGATGATAAAGAAGAACCCGAATACAATGTCTACATAAACCAGACTATTCTTCTGTGAAGATCATTTTGATGTAAATATGACTTATATTTAACTATCGTTTAATATAAAACAAACATCATGAGGTGAATGGTATCGCAAGTCAAATTCAGATTTAAGGCAAGGACGAAAAAAATATTCTTAAAATTGAAATATAAAATGTATAATGCAATTTTATAAACAGAAATCAATATTTCTCGTTTACTTTTTACAAAATCTATCATAAATATAAATTTTTGGATTTTATTTTACATGGTGTAAAATACTCTATTAAGAAACTTTAACTAGTTATAATTCTTAACCTACTGGTTCAAATTGAATGACATTTGAAATATACCGTGCTTATACATCAGGCTTCTAGTTTTACCTACAACGAAGTCATCGAGTTATCGAAGGTCGAAAATGGCCTGAATTGCTTCGAGAAAAGGATAGTACGACCGTGCCGCTTTTTCGCTCGACTTGGCAGGGGTACTATCGTGCGTCCAGGCGTCCATTACCAGCGTCCAGCGTACATTACGGGATCTAAGGACATGCGCTAGTTTAATCATTTTAACCAATTCAATCTATGTAAGACCATATAAGTGGGTTTAAGGGGCTCCGCTAAGATCTTGGAGCCCAAGCCATCCCCGCCTGCACGTGGCGCACCTGCTGAACAACAGAAAGCGCTCTGGCGATGCCACTCCTCTGGGATTCGTCCTAGGGGTTCGGGGGTCAGACGGCAGTCGCCCCGGTAATTGGCACTAAGCCATTCAAAAATGTAAAGTAAAAGAAAGAGATATACGTTTAGGAATAGGGCGTTCGCCTTAACCCTGCGACAAGTATGCAAGGGCTACCGGGTCCCGTGCGAGCCCGGCTAAAGACGTTAACACCAACTACGAAGATTCGCTTTGCAAACTGGAACATTGGCACGCTAACGGGACGCTCCACAGAACTTGCGGCCATACTTGCCAGGCGTAAAGTGGCAGTGACGTTCCCGCAGGAGACACGGTGGAAGGCCAACAGGAGCCGGAATATTGGGCACGGCTACAAGCTGATCTATACCGGCTCTTTTGGTGGGGAGAACGGTGTGGCAGTGGTGCTCGCCGAGCATTTCCACGATAGCGTCTTGGAAGTTAGACGCATATGCGACAGACTTATGGTAGTAAGGTTGCTTGTTGAGAGGGTCGTGACCCACTTAATAAGTGCCTACGCCCCACAGGTCGGCTGCAGTGACGCGGATAAGACGCTGTTTTGGGATCGGTTTGGAGATGTACTACGCGTCATACCGTTGTCCCACGATGTCGTGTTGGGTGGCGACCTGAACGGTCATGTGGGCGAGGTGCAGGGTGATGGGAGGTGGTGCACGCTGAACGTTGCCGCCGTCAAATCAAGTGGTGGCTGCTGGATCAAACCAGATACTCAGAGTTTGACTCTGCTGCTGGGGATATTAGTCTCGACACAGCAGGCAAGTCCGTCCAAAAGTGCTGGAAAACCATTCAGACAGCAATCACAAAGACGGCAAAGCAAGTCCTCGGCGTGGCGAAAGGGGGTCGCAAAATCGACAAGGAGACCCGGTGATGGTACGCCACAGTCCAGGGTTCATTACGGGAGAAAAAAGCGCTCTTCATGACGTGGTAAGCAACCAAATCTCCTGAAGATCGCGAATCTCACAAGACAACGAAAAGAGCTGCCAAGAAAGCTATAGGCAGAGCCAGGCGTGACCACTTGCAACCATTATATGCTAAGTTGGACACTCCTGAGGGATACAAGCTCATATAAACTGGCGCGCCCTAGGACCAAAGCAGCGCAAGATATTATTCGCTGCTGCAGCGTCAACGGCCCTAATGGCGAGCTCTTGTACGATGATCGTGCGGTGAAAGTTATGGCGCTCTTATTTCCACGTTTTGCTGAATACTCATCACCGGGAAGTGCACCCTCCCGAACAACTCCCGAATCATGGACTCTTGCCACCGATTACGCCTGACGAGGTCCTCGCATCTCTTCATCACATGGAGAATCGGAAAGCTGTCGGACCGGCCGAGGTGCCAATTGAAGCGTGGAAAGCGCTGGGGGTTCGTGGTGTGTGCATTCTTACTAACCTTTATAATAGAATCCTGAGCGACCGAATAATGCCCGATCAGTGGCGGCTTAGTATAATAACGCAAGTCCACAAGGGTAAAGTGTCCGTTCAGGATTGCGGTAATTACCGCGGTATAAAGGTGACGTCACACACCATGAAGCTCTTCGAGCGCATTATTGATGCCAGGATCCGACAGAAGTGTACAGTATCGGACTCCCAGTACGGTTTCCAACCAGGACGCGGTACCATGGACCCTATATTCACCCTAAGGAACCTCATGGAGATGCAGCATAGGGAAAAGAATATGCCTCTGCATTTTTTATTCCTAGACCTGCAGAAGACTTTGAGACTGTGTTCTTAGGGAGATGATCTGGTGGGCGTTGCGGTCGAAGTTGGTACCAGAGACCTACGTGAAATCGTACGTGATATGTACCGCAACTCCGATTCAATAGTCAGGACCGCTGTTGGTGATACCACCCCCTTCCCCATAACCGTAGGCGTGCATCAGGGCTCCGTCTTAAGCCCCTATCTCTTCAGTGTGATATTAGACGAACTGTCAGCCAGCGTACAGAAATTACCGCAGCCTTGGCTGCTTATGTACGCTGATGATATCGCACTGGTAGATGGGGACAAAGGACGGCTCACCAGACGCGTGCACGCATGGAGGGAGGTGCTTGAGAACGGCGGGCTGAAGCTAAATGTGGCGAAGACGGAGTATATGGCCTGCAACAGCACGGATCTGACGTCTCTCCGTATAGGCGACGACACCGTCGAGCACACGGACAACTTCAGGTACCTCGGATCTGTGCTTGATGCGTCCGGGGCATCAATTGCGATATCAAGGCTCGTATATCAGCGGCCTGGGCGAAATGGCGCGAGGTGATGGGTGTCATTTGTGACCCCAAAATGCCGGTCAAGCTGAAGGGACAGGTCTATAAGACCTGACCTGACCTGACCATCATAAGGCCTGTCTTTACGTACGGCAGTGAAGCGTGGCCGGTGCTGGAGCGACACCGGCAGTTGTTGCATGTCACGGAGATGAACATGCTGCGGTGGATGTGTGGCGTCACGCGGAAAGACCATGTACGGAATACATACATCCTCGGCATCTCCATGTCCGTGACATTGCTGACAAGCTCCAGGAGAGTCACCTCCGCTGGTACGGCCACGTTTTACGACGACCGGCAAGCTACGTGGGTAACAAACGCCTGGACATGACCCTACCTGGTACCAGGAGTAGAGGACGGCCTAAGAAACGCTGGCTTGATGTCATGCAGGATGACATGCGCACCAATGGGCTAGTTGCGAGGGATGCCGAAGACCGGGCAAAGTGGAGGAGGAAGTGCAGGAAAGCGGACCCTGGGTTCTCCCGCGCTGGGCGGGATGAGCAACCGGGATAAACGCTAGGTAGAAGAAGAAGAAGAATATATGTAAGACCAACATATTGCCAAAATGTTGACTTACATCATCATTACAGCCCTTCACAAGTCCACTGCTGAACCTCCCTCAATATATAGGCCTCCCCCAAGTAATGCCACAAAGCACGGTCCTGAACCACTTGCATCCATCAACTTCCTGCATGTCTTACCAGGTCGTCACTCCATTTGTGGGGGGTCGCACTACACTACGCCTACCGGTACGAGGCTGCCACTCGAGAACCTTTCTTCCACATCGGTTATCGGTTCTTTGAGCTATATAGCCGGCCCATTACCACTTCAGCTTACTAATCCGTTGGGCTATGTCGGTCACTCTGGTTTTACTGCGGATATCCTCATTTGTGAGACTATCACGCAAAGAAACTCCGAGCATAGCCCTCTTCATAGCTCGCTGAGCAACCTTGAGCATCCTCATACGGCCAGCAGTGAAGGAACACGTCTCAGATCCGTAAGTCATCACTGGCAACACGCACTGGTTGTACACTTTAGTTTTCAGAGGTGGATGGGTGTTTTGAGGTATACCTGACGAGGAGATATGTCGTAATTTCCCAAACGCTGCCCAGCCGAGTTGAATCCGCCGATTGACCTCTCGATCGATGCTGGACTTACCTAGTCGGACTATTTGTCCCAGGTAAACGTACTCGTCAAAAACTTCGAGCATAGTGCTCCCAACAGCTACCGGCATAGGTGTAACATGGACACTAAGCATGATCTTTGTTTTGTCCATGTTCATCTTAAGACCTATCCGTTGGGAGACACCATTGAGGTCACTGAGCATAGTGCTAAGGTCCCTCAACGATTCTGCCATAAGGAATATATCGTCGGCAAATCGAAGGTGTGTGATGTAGTCGCCATTGATGTTAATACCGTATCCTTTACAGTCCAGTAGCTTGAAAACGTCTTCCAACGCAGCGGTGAAGAGTTTCGGGGATATAACGTCACCCTGTCTTACACCTCTCTGCAGTTGAATAGATTTCGAACTCTGGTTCTGTACTTGGATAGCCCTACTGTACAAACACTTCAGCACTTCGATATACCGACAGTCAACTTGGCACCGCTGAAGGGACTGTAGCACCGCCCAAATTTCGACGGAATCAAAGGCTTTCTCATAGTCCACATATGCCAGGCAAAGTGGCAGATTGTACTCTTCGGTCTTCTGTACAATCTGCCGCAGGGTATGTATGTGGTCTATGGTACTGAAGCCTTTTCGGAAACCGGCTTGTTCGGGAGGCTGGAAGTCGTCGAGTCTGCGTACGAGACGATTCGTAATGACTCTCGAAAACAGCACGTAGACGTGGCTCAGTAGGGAAATCGGTCTGTAGTTCTTCAAGAAGAGCGTTGTCACCTTTCTTAAAGAACAAGACCACCGCACTTCTGCTCCACGCCTCCGGAGTAGTGCCACCATGGAGGACGGAATTGAAGAGCTTCTGAAGGACTTCAAGTACCGGTGTTCCATCTGCTTTCAGAAGCTCCGCTGTAATTCCATCCTCGCCTGGGGCCCTGCCGTTTTTAAGGTGCTGGAGAGCCATTCTAATCTCGCTCATACTAACGTCCGGGATATAATCGGAATAGTGTCGGATAAGACTTGCTCTTTGATCGTTACTCACACTTGCGTGTGGCTCCAACTATGATGTGTACAGCTGCCCATAGAACCTCTCAATCTCACTCAAAATCTTAGGTGTCCCGGAAACGATGCAGCCACATTCAGTCTTCAGCTTTGACAGTTGGCTCTTTCTGGCAGACAGATCTCTGGCAAAGACTTTGGAACCCTGGTTCCGCTCGATCGCTTCTTTAATATGACCAGTATTAAAGTTGCGTAAGTCTCGTCGCATGCATTTGGAGATCTGTCTGTTCAGTTGCCTGTATGCTGTCAAATCTGTTGACGATTGCAGCCTCATCTCCCGTCTAATAGTCATGAGATTAAGAGTGTGATCGGAGAGTTTTTGTGTTCTTCCGCGGCGGGTCTTGCAAAACTTAGCTCCGACCGCATGGACAGTTTCCACGAGCTTGTGATTCATATCGTCCACTGCATCGCAATCTTCTAGGCACTGAAAGCGGTTACGTAACTCGAGCTGAAAGGTTTCAGGATTCCGCATCAGAGCACGAGGGGGACGGAGCGTTGACTTCATTAGACGAGACCTCTCTAACTTAACGTTTAGGTTCAGTGTGCCCGTAACCATTCGGTGATCGCTGCCAGTTTTCACCCTTGAATCACTGAACAGTTCGCGTCTGGTCGTTATAATGAAGTCAATCTCATTTTTGTCGAACCGTCGGTGCTCGACCAGGTCCACTTCCTGTGGGGCCGCTTCTGGAAGAAAGAGTTCATCATAAAGAGTCCCTCTTTCTCCATAAAGTCGGCACAGCTGGCCCCTTCGGTTCCGGTGCCCTACTCCAAATTTCCCTAACTTCAGCTCACCGTTTTCTCGTGTGCCAAGTTTTGCGTTGAAGTCTCCCATCAACACCGTGTAGTGAGTTTTGAAGGAATGCATGGAAAATCAATCTGGAAATATCCTCATACATTTCCTCTACCTCCTCATCGGGATGTGCCGAGGTTGGTGCGTAAACCTGTATGACCTTCAGCGAATACCGTTTGCTGATTAATCTTTACAATGTTGTTGACGAGAGACTTGTGGACGGTAAATCCGACACCTCCTTGGGACAGATGGTCGCCCTCCCGGTGATAGAACAAGTTGCCGGACTCAAGGATTACCGTGTCCTCTCCCTCTCTTCGGACCTCGGATAATCCAATAATATGCCAGAGCAACTTGTCTACCTCTTCTTCCAGCTTCAGTATCTTCTCGTCAGTCCTCAGGGTGCGTTCGTTATATGTTGCCAGGTCGAGTCGTCGTAGGTGGCAACCGAACTTCCACCGGAGGTTTTAGCACCCCCTGCCCCACCGTTACCATGGTCGCCACCGTAGCCAGGAATAGCGGGGACTGGGGGCCGTTATTTTTGCGTCGTTATTACTTACATAGATGGCAAAATTTTAAAAAACTGTTAATTCGGTTTTTATTGTGGTAATAATAATACTTCTATTTATTAAATCTACAATTATAAAATGCACAAGTCCACATATATATATATATTTATACGTATATTATTATCACGCGAAGTCGCGTGACCGGCCATACGTGACACATTTATACATAAATATTGCCCACATGGCTGATAACGCGAATACGCGTGATTTGTATTTTAAAGGAAATAGTCTGTAATTAGAAATAAAATGTTAATAAAATCATCCAAAGAGTAATTTGTTATAAATTTTTACCACAAAATTGTCCAAATTAATGGCACAATTAGTACATTTGTATTAATTAAAGGAAAATCGTTCATTGAACTAGAATAACAATAATAAAACAACGGTAGTCTAACGTGTCATAGATGCAGCCCTTTATCTCTGCTAGAGCTCGGTGCTTGGCTCTGCTTAGTTAAATTGATGCTGCGACTGAATGAATGGCAAGGTTGGTGTCGTCCATGGTGTCTGGACAGGCTGAGATTGTATTTGACAGGACGATGGCGGCGCAGACAACTGAATATGTTCAGTTCTCTTAACTACACCTCCTCTTCCTCTTCTTCTTCAGATTTTAAACTACTACCACCACCTTCATCAGCTATGTAGTCTATATCATCCACATCACTCCCTGCATAAACATCTTCGTTCGACTCCTAATATTTCTTCCATTTCCGCACTTTTTAGATATTCGTGATGTACTGGGTCTATTGTTGATCTTTTTAACTGTCTTGGTTTGAATCAACATAAAAAAATACAAATATTTCCAAAACGGAAGCAAAATACCGAATGGATAATAAATAATACAAACAAAGACAGACGACACCGCGCTGTTTCGTTGAGTGACATAACAAGTGAGTTTCAAACAATACAAAATGGCTACCTGTAGGCCACGCTCACTACTTGAAAGGTCATTCTCCTCCCGATTGGCCAAAATAAATACCAAAACCCAATACGCTACGGCCACCATTATATAGCGTATGAATTATTGTAAGGGACCATCACGTGACGTCGCGTGATCGGACACAGCGTAATAGGGCATTTCACGCGACGTTGCGTGATGCGGCAATGAACGTGTTAAAGTAAATAATGCAGTCTTTGTGAATTCACACTGAGAACACTTGGATATGTGTACTTTCTCATATATAGGTTAAGCAGTCTGTTTCCCTCAGCAAGTCGACGCGGCGCCGGTATTTTGGAGGGTATATATTCAAATAATTTACCCTCCAAAATGCACAACATGCACGACATTCAAATATACACTCTCCTAGAAATATCTATATAATAGGGTTGTCTATCTAAATACAGTCAAAACATGCGACAGTCACTTGTACTCCACTGTCCACTGCCAGCACGATACCAGCTGCCTCTTTCAGGAGCTTGCTTGCGGTACTTCGTGCTGGTTTAAAGCCATTTCAGAGCATCTGTTAGTTA